CCTTCAATTGAAACTTTGATGTCTAAAAAGGATAAAGAATTGTCAGAAATTTCCCAGGTATATTTCAGAGCCGGATGAAAAGAATTGACTGCGGTTATGAATTGAGTGAGCTCCTCTCTGGTAGAGGAGGTAGCACCGATACAGTCGTCGATGTAGCGACCGTAGAGTTCAGGTTTGGAGCCGTTGTATTGGCTGAAAAATTGATGTTCGACGAAACCTACAAAAAGATTGGCATAGCTAGGTCCCATTTTGGTGCCCATCGCTATACCATTGGTTTGTTTGAAGAAGTTGTTTCCAAATGAAAAACAATTGTGTGTGAGCACTAGTTCGGCTAAGCGTAGTAGTGTGTCAGATTTAGGTTCCTTAACAGTACGTTGATCAAAAAAATGTTTAAGGGCCAGAAGGCCTTCGTCATTAGGAATGACAGTGTAAAGAGACGTAATTTCCATGGTGAAAAGAAGTTTGTTTTGGCCAAGGAAATTAAAGTCTCGAAAAATTTGAAGAGCGTGTTGGCTGTCTTTAATATATGATGGTAAAAAGTTTTAACGATAGGAGCCATATTTTTGTCTAGATAGCTGGAGATAAGTTCGGTAGGGTAACTGCAAGCCGTGACAATGGGCCATCAAAGTTTCAATTGAAGGTAAAGGTTTATGCACTAGTGTGTATTACAGATCTACAGACTCGCATAATTACTTGTTATATTCGTCTTCGCATCCATTTCAACTTTGTTGATATATCCAAATTATTTCGTTACTCCCGCCAACGCAGCCCCAAACAGTTTCTTTCGAAACTATCAGCCTTTATTCATTTGATTACTAATTTATCCAGGTGATATTATATATTCGTTCAGTAATGAAGTATTCTCGTGTGTCTCACGATGTGATGTGGATCGCAAAGTTACGACGCATACTGCGAGTATTGTTCTTAAGAACTCTTTCTCAGAAGCTGAGATCGCCTGGATACGCTTCACCTCAAGAATCAGCAGTAGGCTTCCTCGCGGCTCTCTAGTTATTGTGTTTCCTTATCGTCGGCATTTAAGCCTCTCAGGTTTCTATTCCGTTGCGGTTACCGCAGATCCACGTATCTATAAAAGCTATCGTGCCATGCCTGAACACCTTTGCATTTTGAGAATAAGTGTTGTCGTCTTTAATGGATTACTCGCATTTCACGGTGACCAACTCAGCCCACTTCCTGCATGAGCACTGTTACAGTCATAGAACTAAGACAAGAAGACCTTGTGTCATCGAGTGGTGATCCACTCGCGACATGATTACAGTGTGAAGCAAATGATCACATGCCATGACTGGTGTATTTACCACGATAGTTACCTACAACCTTCTCTACGATGTATTCTTCTCTGCTAACTTGCATGATCTTTGCCCGCCTGTCCTACGTGATTGCAGTGACATCCCACACAGACTACAGTTCAAAATTCTGTAAAGGGATCTATCTTTTTGTTAGGCGATTAATTTTTTTTTACTAGAATTCTTTATTTTAGTTGAATAAAAGAGGCTAGGATGACTTTTAATCTTGTAATATGCTAAAACTGATACACTGTGTTACCTTCGTGTGTTTGATTAAGTTGGAAAAGTTGATTGGTTATTTTGAAAACTACACTAGCGTGAAGGGAACACAGTCAGTTGACTTATGCTATTGATATTTTTTTTTTCTGCAGAGATTAATCAACATGGAAAAATATGATAAGCATTTGTATACAAACCTTGAAGATTTAACAGTGTAGATGATAAAGCTTCCTCATTGTCTATGGGCCTGAATGTTTGAACGTTTCGCCACTATACTTTAAGGAAGTTGGTTTTTTTTTTCCAAGGTGTCTAAAATGGAATGACTGCTTTGGATGTCTAACATTTTTTAAAAACTTTTGGAAAATTTTCATGTCACTGAAACTCGAACTTTTTGACTTCACAAGGACCATCTATATTTTCGAAACTGATTGCAAATACTTTTGAACTCAGAAGCATATAGGTTTAATTTTGTGGTTTGTTTCGAGGTTATTGTTTATTTTCTTTTAAATTTTCCAAAGAGCCAGATAGATAGATACTTATATTCAACAAAATTGATCAAACATGTTGTTGCTAAGATTTTTTTCACAGTGGTATTAACATTTCCAAAATACAGTGACTTAAAAAAAAAGTCGTTGATGTTATTTCATATTTGCTCATTTGACCCGCTGAACCTCGGACGCACCAGTTAGGGAAACTGTATTTTCGCTGAACAGTAGAATTTCAGAGATAGTTCGCTTTTCCCTAATGTCTACTTATGGTAGACTTGTGGATGTGGCAGCTACATCCCACAAGTTGACCTTGATTCAAAAATTTTCCATGCAACGGTAACGAAATGGTTAGAAAATGGTGTTTTCTCTGCAAAAATGTATTTTTCCATTTCAATTTAATGCCGATCTTTTACCTTACACACAGTTCAGCCTGAAAAAATAAACATGGGGACCTTTCACAATCCCTCTCATTCCATACTGAGGTTATGATAGCTATTATTACATTTCTTAAAAGAAGACTAAGTAATTGATTTGACAAAGATAAGAAATTTGAGGCCGAAAACTCGGTTTGTTTTTACGCGAGTTACGTATGTATATTGGTTGGATTTTTATGGAAACTTGCCAGAATGTTTGTCAGCTAGTGTGTGAGGCTTTTTAAGAACTTCGATATATTTCTCTCGTGACGTCCCGTAGCATGACAACAACCGAGATAGATTTTCTCAGGAACTAACAGGAATATGAAAAAACCTCAAAGTTTAGGAACCTATTATATGCTGAATGACACAGTTGGTAACTAAGGCCATCAGCAGCCAGAGCCGTGCGAAATATAAGTGTAACGCAAAAATCAAATGAAAAAATGATAATAACAAAATACCATAATTAAATGGACAAAGTACTGTAACGCTTCAACATATGTTTAATAAAATATATATGTTCAGGGACGATCCTCAAGAAATTTTTGCTTCCTGGTTCGTTCGATAGCCAACACCGTCCTGACTATACCGTGTCGCAGTTCGTCTCAAAATGCAAAATGCAAGTTATGGTTGTATGAAGGATAATTACAAAAGGATACATTTTTTCGTAAACTAGGATCCTTCTTGCTCTATATCTTATCTTGACTATATTTTTTTGCACGTCATTGATAGATAAAAAAATTGAACAAAATCGCAAGAATCTCTCTTCGGTGTAATAAAAAATGTCTGTGAATAATGACGCCAATCACTTTCTCACAACTATTTCACGATAATCCAGAATGCATCTATTCCATTCGCTACGTTTGTTGTTCTACACTTCCCCAGTTGCCTCACACACTCCTGTGAGTTCCTTCCAGATGAAAATAAAAGTATTGTTTTAATTGGTGTCTGGGCAAGGTGCGAGTGCCATTATGAATTTCAGAGTAGTTGTTGTGACCCAAAATTCACTCGCTTTTGCATCCATCACCCAACCACTTCGTCTTTCCTTCCTCTTTCCACCAGTGTTCAAGTCTTCCTGGTTCGAGTGTTCAGTTCGAATTCCTGCGTAGAGCTCAAATGATTGCTAAGAATTGGTCAAAATTTCAAGTCTGCTGAGAAATAATATGTATTTAACCAAAAACTAACAATAACTTAAAAATCTGTTAAACCCGATGTTCCTCTACGCTGCTTGCTAACAAACGTCCTTAACCGTAGACGCTCGTCTTTAATTTCATAACATACAGCTTATCCAAATAGTCCAACATATATCCAATGACGTCAATAGCTACCTTAAAAGTATAAGTGTACAGTATTACAGTTCAGTATTTGTGTACATGGCCAAGAGTTTATCTGATGATGGTTAAGTATTTGAATAATATGTCACAACGAACAACAAAGATCATAGACGTCGGAAGGTTGGGGCAGACTCAGAGACGTGCGTGACTGACCTGGAGTCGTTAAAGGTTATATTAGCGATTTTACGTTACAAATCGTTGCCGAGTCTTTTTTAACTCACCGCTATGTTTGACCAACGAGTTCTCCTTGGTTGCTGTGGGCTTATTGTTGGTCTTTATCCTCTTGCAGGTAAGTAACGATGTCTTTTAAGATTAGCTTACACAATAAGAATACCTATACCGAAAATGTAAACATACGTGTATCAGTAAACTGGCAAAATGTAATTAATCGTGTATTATGAGTCGACCTTCGGTCCCGAAGTACGCTTAGGCGCATCATAACAGCACAATCATGAAAAAGAGTACTGGTGCAGCGTTGACGACAACTTTGCCTTTGTTTATTTCGTGGCCGTGAAGGAGGTAAAGTGAAAGGAAAATTTTAAGACATGATCGATCTCGCAGTTTTATTTCCGCCTACAGACATCAGACTGAAGGTCATTTCCAATACGGCCCAGTTAATACATGCAGTTATAGTATCTTATAAATTTGATGATGTGAAATGCTAAATCAGCCGGTACGTAGGTCAGCCAAGCGTACCTGCATCATTTCATGGTTCATCCTCGTTTACTGCTCCGTTGTGAAGATTATGATCGTTTTGGGTCGGTTCCAATCGCCCATTTGTTTAGCTCTGCTATTTCCTTTTCTAAATAAATAAAGGGATGGTCAAATTTTAATCACATTTTGATTAACATCATTTTCTAACATACCTTCGGCGACTGGTTAATAGAACTTTTGTCCGCTAGATCAAGAAGTTGATTGACCTCTTTGATTACTCTCGACTTCTAAACCTTCTTAAGTCCCTCGAGTATGGTTGGCCAAATGTTGCAAAATTCAGCAACTTGCATATTTATATTCAATAACTTATATATATGCTCAACAAAATATATTTTTATTCAACAGTTTGCAGTTATATTCAACATTTTATATTTATGTTCAACGACACGCATTTTCTTTTCATATTCAACCAAAATTATTTTCATTCAACAACAATATTTATTCAACTTCAATAGCTATATTTATTTTACTCAACAAAATTAATTGTTCAACTTCAGTCCAAACTTTTTACCCAACAAAAATGACTATTCAACTTCTACCATGCATAGTTATTTAATGACATACCTTCTATTATGACTAGGTGTGTGAAAGTTCCCGGACATTCAAAATATCGTCATTCAACAAAATTCCCCGCCCTTACCCCCGAACTACTCCCAAACATGGAGACCCATTCCCTTCCAATACGAAGATTATGGACTGGAACCCGATCATTCAATTTGCGCCAAAAATCAAAATGGCAGCCATAACACTGAACGAAGATTCATTCTTGAATTGCTTTGAGGATGTTATAAGCTTGTTAAATGTTTGTGAAGAGGGAGAGAACAGTATTTCCCAACCATTTATAGAGAGGGTGATCAATTGCTTAGAATCAGCGGCAAAATTTGTCGAAAACGTATTATTGATTGCAAACGAGTGCAAAGGAGAGTTGACTGAGGTTGCTGGAAATTTAAGGGATTTGTTCCTCAGTTGGTACCGAGAATTGACAGAACTGGGGTTAAGGAATACTCCAAACTGTACTCACTTAGCAGTATATCTGGTACTTAATTTGATCACTGAATTCATCTGGATATTTGAGATACTCTTTAACTCTCGCTGGTGTCAGCTCAACAGGTTTAAAGGTGAACACACTCTCAAACAAATGTGGGTGTTTTGAAATCTCATCAAGAACACCAATGGTAATCAATCCTTTTCTCAACTGATCCAAAGCCATTTTACGTTTTGAAATGACCTCATACATGACCATTGATTGGATTATTATCCCTTTGGTAGACATCTGAAATAAATAAATATATTAACAGCAATGCCCAAATAGAATGGTCGGGAAATACTGTTTTTTCCCTCTTCACAAACATTTAACAAGCTTATAACATCCTCAAAGCAATTGAAGAATGAATCTTTGATTTTTGGCGCAAATTGAATGATCGGGTTCCAGTCCATAATCTTCGTATTGGAAGGGAATGGGTTTCATGCTTGGGGGTAGTTCGGGGGTAAGGGCGGGGAATTTTGTTGAATGACGATATTTTGAATGTCCGCGAACTTTCAAACACCTAGTCATAATAGAAGGTATGTCATTAAATAACTATGCATGGTAGAAGTTGAATAGTCATTTTTGTTGGGTAAAAAGTTTGGACTGAAGTTGAACAATTAATTTTGTTGAGTAAAATAAATATAGCTATTGAAGTTGAATAAATATTGTTGTTGAATGAAAATAATTTTGGTTGAATATGAAAAGAAAATGCGTGTCGTTGAACATAAATATAAAATGTTGAATATAACTGTAAACTGTTGAATAAAAATATATTTTGTTGAGCATAAATATTAGTTGTTGAATA